TCTCTGGAGATCGTAATTTCAGGATTTAACTTTTTTAGGTTTAAATAACTAGTAATAATTTGTATTAGGAATGGAGATTTATAATAACATTAATATATATTTATACGCTTTTTACTCTCAGAAATAAGTATGTTTATACACTTTTTCAGTGCATTTAAGTTACAGAAAAATTAAGTACATTTAAGTTACAATATTTGTATCGTTTTACGTAAAAATCATGTTCTCAAAACACCGAGTTAATGGATGAAATGATATGCATTTTCTGTACTGCATTTTATCGAAACTGCGTTATAAAAATCCTTTCTTTTATAATCAAATTTGTGTATCATTCAAAATAATTTCAATACTTCCCTCGAATTCGTGCTCTTAGACATTTACGTTGAAGCGAGATTGCTACAGTCTCATTGGAATTAATTTAATATCATCAGATAATATCACAGTATTTTATACGAAATCGAATATTGACATTTTTATATTTCCATTATCCATATCCAAAAACTAATCCATTTTTTTCTATATTTCCCATGTATTTTATTTATTTGAAAGAGCTGCACACAAGCATCCTTTACTTGACTCTAGATTTCATAGGCTTCTATAAATTTAAAAATTAAATGTTAATTATAATAATGATCAGTTTATTTTTTATTACTGTAACGATTTCTTAACTTAGAAAATGTCTTCTATTGAAACTCACCGTAATATATTTTATTAAGTCCACTAAGTACCTTTTTCGAAATAAAATCTGAAATAGTTGCAATATAATTTAATAATAAAATAATTGTAAATTTAAAAATTGCCGAAACATGTAATATTTTTTGCCTTAAATTCATTGCTTTCCAGTTTTACTGCTCTTATGACGGATCTTTCAAACTTTTCAACTATCCAAGATCTTTGTGCAATATACCATTAGTAGCACACCAAAAACGCGAATCCACATTTTTCACTGTTTTACTTGAGTATATTTCCTGTCCGTATTTTGCACTATGCCAAAAGAAAGAAAGACATGTGCAAGAATTATTATGTGAACACATTCCTCCATCCTCCTTAGTTTATTTATTAATTCTCTTAAAGTTCCTCATTTAAGCATATCTTCGCCGAAATGATAATTTTACGGGTTTGTTACTTTTGAGCTATTAAAATAATTATTTTTAACTTTTAGAATTACACAAGTAAAAGGAATTAATATAACATTCATAAAAACATGAAAAATTAGTTATAGATTCTTTGTTGTGTTATAGTGTTGACTTTAAAGCCTCTTTAAATAATACTAAAGATGGTCCAGAGTCAGAAAGATTTTGAACCATTGCACCAACGTTTGAGTTAAGACTAATCCGGAAAAGATTATTTGTTAAAATTCCATCCCTGTAATATTCTCCATGAGTCTGAAAAGCTAATGCTCACTTTTTCTTAGATTTTTGTTGAATAAAGTTCATTTTTACAATACATACATTTTTTTTTTCTTTTCACTCGTTCTCTCTCCTTTATTGTTTAAGGTTCAACATAGAAAATTAAGAAAAATATGTTCGTCTTAAAATATGACTTTAGAAACAAAATATTTAACTTTTATGACTGAGCTTTAGTAAAATATGCTTAAACAATATGGTATATTCTGCTAATACCATGCTCATAGCAAAGGTCTGCCCTCAGATGACATTACTAGATTGTCTACAGAGCCTACAATTTTACTATTACTTGAAAAATAAGTTTTGAAAATGTAATAATTTTTTGAAATCTTTAAATGTGCTGGAGAATATGTCTCTAACATCAAAAGCATAGAAAATTCTTAAATCTCATATTCTATATGCAAGTTACTAAATTGTTAGGAAATATATTTCCTTCTTGGCGATGCTTAATGGTCTCCTGAAAACTACTTTCTAACCTCAAATAGCACCCGGAAATGTTTGGTGCGTGAAAGGAGCTAAAAAAGAAAATGCCAGAGCATATCAGATAGAGGTGGAAAAAATAAAAAAGGCACGAAAATGTCCAAGCGCGGAATGCGAATGAGACGAAAAAAATCAGAGTTCAGAATATATCTTCCATTACGATGATAGCTTTTCCCCTTCTGGCCAATTACAGTTATTTGTATAGTTGTGAACTCTCTTGTTAGCAGTATTACCGTCGACCGGGTTCTGTGATTGGCTAACGGGCGTGATTCCGGAACCGTCACGTTCCACTCGGCGTAAACTCGTCACCCAAGATAACTTTTACAGTGTTTTTTTAAAATCTCATTTTCTCATTTTCACTCTGCATTTTATATTAAAAAAGAGTGTTTCTTCAAGTATAAGACATCCAGACAATTATGATATATTTTTCTGCTTACGTAAATGTTCTAAAGAATATGGAAAATATGATTATATGTGGGTATTTAATAACAGGATGTTTGTGTTCGAAGTCTGAGGTTTAAACCTATTCCATGCAACAATGAATGAGCAAATAAAGATGTCATCAGCTATGGCATGTAAAATTGTTAAATGACTAACGATTTAGTCATGGTATTCTTTGTTTATTTCTTATAACTGTGTTTTAAAAATGGCATAATTCTCATATTAAAATTATATAAGGAATGCTTTTACATAAATGCGTTTTTTTTTTTTTTATTATTATTTCTGACGTGTCATCTTTTTTTAGCATCGCCTATTTTCTCTTTAAATTGTCATTGATATAAAATATGCTGTCTTTTAGCAGTGCTTCCTATAAATTCCTAATTATAGAATTCCAAGTAAATTTTATTTTCATGTTAATTTTGTGATCCTTTCTTTAACAACAAAATCACATCAACACTGCACATGCCTTCTGGGAAGGGGATGGAATTTCACTTTTATTTAGAAAGCGATGGGAATTAAACTTCTGTTCTTCATCTAATGTATACTCGTCTACAAAATTAAGAGAATTTTCACACTATATCGAATTTCTGATAAATTAATCGACAGATTTTATTAAAATTTGGTATGAAGATTTATTTATAACAAAGAAAGATATATACAATTCAAAAGTCATTTTATATACACATGATTATCAGTAAAGCTGGTATGTCCTAAAACAACGTTGTGATATCGAAGTGAAAAAGAGTCTAATATGTGGTATGGTCCCTTCTCATAGTCAGACGGTCGCTCAGCGTGACATGAGGCAGTTGATCCCCCGCCTGTAGCAAGGCAGTTTTCAACTTTGGGATGGGTCTCGAAGGTGGATGATGAGATGAAATGGCCCTCCCAAGTGCATCTGAGACATGCTGTATAGTGTTAAAGTCAGGAAAACTGGTTGGTCAATTTATGCACCGAATATCCTCACTTTCCAGGTAACCGCCGATCAGCTGAGCACTATGTGGACGAGCTTTGAGGTCCATTAACAGGAACCCAAGACCAACTGCGCCCCGAAAAGTCGAACATAGGGCTCTATGTTCTCCTTTGTGTACCTTAGAGCATTTAGGAAGCCTTTGCCAAATACGTGCAGGAGTATGCGGCCATCAAACATAGTACCAGCCCAAATCATTACACCCCCCCAATACCCTAATGGTCCTTTTCCGTGATGAGGGAAGGATGGTATCCGAGCTCTTTCCAGATACAGGTACACGGAGAATCAGTGTCCAGACTGAATCTCGGCTCATCTGTAAAAAGCACGCTGCTCCACTGAAGTCTGGTCCAAGGCTCATGTTGTCTACCCCGTGCTAAACGCGCTCTCTTTTGTGCTGCAGTGAGCGGAGTCTTCTGGCATGCAGCCCTATCTCATGAAGCCTTCGACAACTATAGACTGTAAAACTCGGGTTCCAGTGGTAGCAGACAACTTACGTGAGACCTGTGAAGTTGTAGCAGTTCTACGTCACCGAGCTGAAAGTGCCAAATAACAATCCTCATTAGCCGTTGTGGATCTAGATCGACCTTGTCGAAGTCTTCTCGATATAGATCCAATGTCCTGAAAGTATTTCCACAAATCACAGACGACACTGAGCTCTGTAGCCACATGCACTTTTGATAGACCTTCCTCCAATCTACCGACAATTCTTCATTTCATTCCGTTATCCATACTTTTGTGGCTATTCGTTGTACCTGATATCTTATAAAATTTACCTAACTCTTCGAAAACCACAGCGAACATCGTGAAGGAATACGAACATACAAACCGCCGAAAACCTCTCGTGCGCTTATTTCACCTTACGTATTCGACCCTGAATATTTGCAAAGTTCTTCGGCATAGTTAGTACCTTTAGTTCAATCCTTTTCGTAAAAATTGACAGTGTATAATGCTCAGTATGTAACATTTCCAGTTCTAGAATTTTTAAATTACATGGGAATTACCTGTGAATAAATAAAAGACTAAAAGTATAATGAATGATACCTTTCTCTATTTTGAAATATTGGACGACCGGCCATAACTACTAGAGGCAAATCTATGTTTAAATAATAGTCTATGGTACATATAAATGTTATTCAATTTTTTAAGAGCGCCATTATGTTATTCATATTATAGTTACTGTAATTCGCACTTTCTATACCTGCCTCTAAAAATTGCTGTAACATTTTTTTAATGTGTAACATGAGAAAATATCCTATTATTCTTAATGTATTTAAATTTGCGTAAAACTTAAGTGCGTGTTTCATAATGCTCGTGCAAACACAATATCAAGGGTTTTATAAAAGTCAGAGAATAAATATCTAACGAATAGGCCCACCGAAAAGCATATTTAAAAAAAAAATACACTTAACCCTTCACGAAAAGCATCACGCAAGTGTGTTATATCAACTAAAGTCTAAAACCTCAGACTCACAAGTGCGTTACATCAATGGACTCTTCAAAAATTATGAAGTAAATTACAATGCTGAGTACATTACAATGTAATGTTTAGGATATTTTATCTCATTTCACTCAATATTCTGTCTTATTTCTTTCAGTTAATTTAAAATAAAATATTTTTGACTCGGAATTTCCCAGCTCAAGCAGAATAAAAGTCGAAAGATTTCTTCATTTTATTTAATAATCCTAAACATGATTCACTTTTTTTTCAGGTCAACTGCATTTCCTCTGATCCACTGAAAACCTCGGGACAAAGAAGGAATAAAACCCCGCGCTATCAAATATGCACAAAGGGACTGTTAGGTGTGGCCTTAAACTATGTTTATCAAGCTTATTATCAGTTTTTCTGCTCAATGCATCTGCAAAAGCTGACGATTTCAGTCAAGGTAAGTTCAGTTCTTATCCATTTATCATGTATTCCTGAAAAGTATTGTTGTAGCACATTATTAAGGAAAGGCGTGATCATGTAGCCTTGTTCAAATTCATTCTGTTTGATAACCTTGCTGATATTATTAGGGGGGAAGTGTGTTTAATATCGTGATCGAATACTGAAGATTTAGGATTCATAGATATAAGAGAAATCAGGTGGTTTCACATTCCATTGTAAGCAATTAATGTGTTATATGCATTTTCTCTTAAAAAGAGAATGATTAAACTTTTGTTATTTCTTTTAAAGATGCGTATTTGTACATTGATGAATTTTTGAGTCATAGAACTTAATGACTATATCTTTCAGATTTAAATTTATTAAGAGATTACAGCAAATTAAATTTGGCAAAATTTCTGTGGCCTTTAATCCATCTGCCGATGTACTGATGAAGCTACTAATGCTTGGTTTGGGCGGATATTTGACGTTAAGGTTCGTTCTTTTCATTTGAGCCGCCTTAATGGATGGTGAAGTGGTTAGCACTGCTGACTGCCATATCGGGTTCGAATCCTCGATAACGATTGGATGTTTATAAGTGTATAGTTTCTCCATTAAAACTGCGATGTAGCCTCTTCGCTCTCCCTTGACGAGATGGTTAAATGACCGATTGATAATAGTCTTTTCCAAAGAATGCATTAAGTTGCAAGCGTCTGGTCCTTAAAAACAACAACAACTTTTCACATGCTGATTTTTTTATGTACAAATTAATTTTTCTTAGATTCTTGATATATGTGGCATCTGATATTTTCTTAGATTCTTGATATATGTGGCATCTGATATTTTCATAAATTACTTTTTTGTTTGTTTTCTAAAGCTATTTCATTTCAAAATAATAAGAGTAAAATATTAATAAATGATGGGGAAAATATTTACTCCCATTATTTTTGTAAGTATTAAATTGTTACTTGTAATGTTCTATGCCTATTTATAGCTCAGCTCAATCTGATATTCAGTTTATAATTTTGACATGAAATAGGTATTGCAAGTAGATTCAGCAGTATATTTTTTCAAAAAACATTTGAGCATAGGTTATAAGATTTCGTGGAAATTTGTGTAATTAAATAAAAGCAGCTCTTGATAAATAAAATTATTTGTTGCTATTTTCTGATTATAAAAAATACTTTGTGGGAAACTATTCAATGTTCAAATTTTAAAATGAATCACTGATGTTTCGTCTCTAATAAAGTAAACCATTACGAGAAGTACCAGTCATCAGGAACAAAATAATTGTTTTAATTAGCAGAAAATCTTTAAATTTTTCCTTTTGCTTCTCGTTATCTTCATAGATTAACACATTTAGAAGACAGGCTATGTAAGTCAAAATACATGTCACGAAATTCTGGCAATCATTTGTCGTCTTAAAACTTGAATAAACTTTGCTCTGAGCAAACTGTCAAAATGACTGATTGATCAGCAAGTAACATGTAAATTATGTAACATAATTGACTAACAAAGCAGAAAGTAGCATACGAACCTGATTTGTTAATTGTATAAATAGACACGCGCATATACATTATGGAATGGAATTTACTGATAAATCAGCAAATGACGTACACAATACGTAACAGCAATATTTAAAATTGTCACTCGTAAATGTATACATCATTTCTTGGTATTAGTTATTGGTGAAGCACATGTTTCTTACTACATTAAAAAAAGTGCGTTTCGAACTTATTTTGTTTCCTAAGAAGTTTAGAAAACAGCAACTGATCTATTACATTTCCTGATACATTATCTATCATTATTATTGTATAGATTATGCCAAAACAAACTACATTTAACTGCTTAACTTCTATGGGGAACTTATCTATGTTCACAAAAGCCACGAAAACTCACATGCAACCAGCTCGTTCGCTGAGATTTGATTTCGGGTGAAGCTACTAGTATCACTCGTGAGCGACACATGATATGTCGAGTGGTAAGCACGATATGGTGCGCAGTATATGATGCAAAGCAAACTTATAAAAATTCACGTTTAATCAACTGTAACCAAAATTAAGGTTTAATTTCATTTGATTTACACAGAAATTAAGATCACATAGAAATGCATGCAGTTATATAAAAAAATCGAATCTTATTTAAAGAGTGCTCAAGTAAATTACGTTGTTTAAATTAAATTTAACAGGTCTCAAGATTTTTTTAAGTTATCTTGGAAAAATTAAAATAAAAGACGTTTTAAACTTTCAAGATAATACACTTTTTTCAGACACAAAGCATCTAAAATATTATTTATAAAGCAATACCTATATATATGCGAATCTTTATCTATCTAATCGAAAAAAGTTAACAGTTACTATTTGACCCTTTTTCTTATAATCACTAAGACAAGCAAACTATTAAAGCCAGGTCCGCTTTCGAAAATTGTTTTCTGTGGTAGGTAAAGTTTCGATTCAATACAATTAGTAAATGTAATAAATATCATCCTATATTTTTACTTGAATTTGATTTCAATCAATAAAAGTCTTCTTAGGTTATAAGCAGATCATCAGAGATTTATTTGTATGTACATTTTATCTGAATTATTTTTACTTTTTAAGGTCATTTATGTGATCATAAGGCCATATTTATGTGTTTTTTATTGGTCGCCGAAGAAGAGGGATCGCTAGCCTATTGTTAGAGAAAATTAATATCATATAGGCGAGTAAAATCGGAGGTTGCTAAAAATTATTCAAATAATTTACTTCGTAGAATAAAAATAGATCTCTAAATTATAATAGTTTTCCAGCAACATAAAAAACAAAAAATTTAAAAAGTCAAAAACGTTAAAGCTATGTTCCTTTTCCGTGTGTGAATACTTACTTACACGAGAAATGAAGTGCTAATGGATGGTAATGGATTGTAATGGAGAAATGAATAATAATCTATTAAAGGTTATAGAAAACTGACACGACAGTGTGTCAGAATACGAGGTTGTCAACCCGAAAATAATAGTGCAAGAAATGCAATGCAAACTGAAGGGATAAATAAGCAAAATTTGCAATTTCAGTTCTTGATGTCTTGACGCATCATATTTGTTCCATGTCCTACAAGAGCACCCATCCACGAAATTCGACCTTCCGAACGCAGCGGCTCGATCAAGTCTCAGATTTTGGAGATACTCCAACACTGACCGGGAAATCTTTTCATCTCTTTCTCATCTACCCCCTTACACAAATACACCAAAAAAAAAAAAAAAAAAAAAAAAAAAAAAAAAAAAAAACTCTCATCTGCCAAGTGATACTTTCTAAAACTTTTCCTATCTGTCTGACATTGAATCCATAATGTAAAATGACTTGAGACAGAATGATAAACACTACTACAATGTAAATCATAAAACTAATATGAGATCTTTGCATTTCTATTTTATTTAAGTTTTACATTTTTAGCTATTTATAAGGTGAAATTACATCGAATATTTAAACAGTAATAAAAGTGCAGTGGCCCCCAACTGGGATAGTGAATAGGGGTTAGCGACGCTGACTGCCGTACCGAAGGACTCGGGTTCGAATACCGAAGAAGGCATCGATGTTTGTAAATGCATAGTGTCTGTGCGGTATGCGGGCACTCTAAATATGCTGCGAGAATATGAATATGCTTTCTTCTCAGGTTGTGGTAGGGGAAGAAGGGTGCGACATTTATACTCTCTCCCCCGGGTGCTCTCCATCAAAATTGGGGGGGGGCGAACTGGGCAAATTCATATTGTTAAGCGACTTTGAGTAACTGCTCTTCCCTTTATCTTTAGCGAATGCTTTTCTCTCAATTATTTCAATTCTTATTAACGATGATGTGGAGGTAATTGCAATTATTTTGCAAAGGTACTCCGTAACCAAACACTTTGGTCCTTGGTCCTGTATGGTGCCCAAGGCTTTTACCAACGACACCACGCGCAATTTTGACGCCTTGCCTAGATGAATTTCGTGGTCTTGCTCAGATGGCAGAGACCTGATCTGATGTTACTGTCAATTGGGTGGGATAAGTCACAGCACGCAACAAAAATACAGTGAAAGGATCAGTTTCATATTTGAGAAAGATGAATTTTTTAGAACTGTAAACTTTAATAAAAGAAAACAGCGGCGTACAAATGCAGCACTGATTTATAAATAAGTATCTTCGATGGATGGAGAAGAAAGGGCAAGCTTCTTTTTGTTAATGGGGTATAAAAAGAGACTAGACTGGATTAATTAATTACGGCATATGCAAGGGTATCTTTCATTTTCTAGGAACCGAACCTGAAAATAAAGTTTCTTTGCTTCACGGCTTTAGTATCTTAGCCACAGGTGGGATCTTAAAAAAACTTCCAAAAACCAAGAAATGTTTGTAGACCTTTTTTATGGCTAAGGGTTGCTTTAAAGCAATATAAGTACAAACACTGACTTTAGAAAGTTGCAAATGATATTCTTGCAAAATTATGTAAAATATGATGTTACTTGGAAATCAATGTTCATATAAAAATTCTTTCAAATTGTAACAAAATATTCGACAGCGAAGTGCATAGAATATGGTAATACAAATATTTTTAGAAATGTATTAATTGTTTAAATTCAGTAATATTGCTAAGAAGTGAGTATATTCCAAAGTAGATAAATTTGTGACGCTGGTAAAACATTTTCAGTTATGATAGCAAAAATGACTGAAACACCATGCAGCATAAACTGCTAACACTCAGAATTAGAAATTTGCCAATCCATGTGGATGTTAATACAGTGTCGCAAGAGACAATGAACGTTTGTTTGGTAACCCAAAAATTAGAGGTGGAATTAATCCTGAATTTTCTCAAATTCGAACACAATTCCTAAAAGGTTCTCGAATCTTTCTGATCCTCTGGATTTCTTTAAACCAAGACTATTAAAAAGGAGGAAAATATTTCATTTAATATTACGAATTTTAATTAATTAAAAATGTGTAAGCTGTATTTAACGAAAAATAAATTTAAGAGCTCAGGTTTTTAAAAATATATTCATTAAAAATTATTAAAAAGAT